TTCGAAGAGGGTCAGCTAGTCAGCGACAAACGGCAGTTGTAGTGCAAGAGCGCGCGTTTTTCAACACCTACACCACCCTTATCTTAGTTACTTCTCTTGTCTTAGTTCTTACTCTTACTCAGTTCCTTCACATGTTCCCTTTACTTACTTCACTGGTTACTGCATAACCTTAGTTCTTTTTGGTAGCATGGACGAGGGTCTAAGCACATGGGTATGGTAATTCTGGTATCAAGTCACTTGGACGGAAATAAAGGTAACTACTGTGGGAGAAATGAATACTCCTAAAATACTCAAAGAAGAGGTTTATTAATATGGAATCAAAGGGAAAAAGATATATTATTAACATATAACTACCAGGCTAAAACTCCTGGGCTTATTGTAGACTCAGTATTTTCTTTACTTATTTTCTTATTTTTACTCAACAGCAATTACTCAGATATTACACTACTACTGCACACAACCTTACTGGTGTTACATTACATTACCTAGCAGGACCGGCTCCTTGGCCCTACTCACAATACATAGTACATGGCAACTCCTTGTAGATTACTTTACTGCCACTCCAAATGGGTACTTCTACTTCACCCACATCTTCTAGTGGTACATCTCATTACAGTTACAAGACTTTACTCCTAGTCCCAAGTGGACAACTTTGCTTCTCCCACATTACAAGGTATTTTACACAACTTACTGACTGTTGGTAGTGCATATGAGATGCACTCACAACATACACGTTAATACTGAAACCAGCAAATACATGGGTCCACTACCCAACATGGGATAATTATTTCCAACTAATTATCCCCCAACATACATATTACAACACACTCTGTGGACATATAACTTCCAGGGAGCGTCCCAGGGTAGAACACTGGGGCTCACGACCTGTTGCTGTGATCGGTGGTAGCCAGACACATCGCGAGCCTGGGGTCTGGCTCCACGAGGCAGTGGAGCAGATTAATCGTGCCGAATCGGTGCCATCGTTTCATATATTGATCCCTACTGGGTATCTACTGAATCCGGGGCAGTCGTTGAGTGATCCAAGAGCCACAATTGGATCTGGAGACAAACGGGAGAGCAGACGTCAGGGGACGCTTTCTCTCCCTTACCCGTGGTATATATACCCCTGAGTTGCCAGCGATCGCTACTCACGCAATGACAGAGATTACAAACAACCCAACTGTTACTCATTCAAGGATGACCCTCAGTTGACAAAAGGTCTGGCGAATTACTTAAGTTGATTTTGTAATGACGGATCTTAAAATAAGAATATTTATATATATAGGTAGAATATTTAGTAAGAGAGTAAAAGAGAGGAAGATTTTGGTAGCGTGCTCGTGATAGATATTTACACTTATCGTATCTTATACGTCAATACACTTCTATTACGTCTTAAGGGCGACTTCTCAAACACCGCTTCGTTACAACTCTTTATTAATTACGAACATGACATGGACACATTAATAACACCTTTTATTGAAGTTACTAGGAAATTATATTTACGTTACTAGGACATCATATTACGTTACTAGACACTCTGATTCTCGGACACGAACATGAAATGAATACACTTCCCACGTAAGTAACTCATCCCATGGAAAGCTCTGACAAAAACTCACGTGAGATAGGGGAGGCCTAGCAGGTGGTCCTGGGTTGTCTCTATGGGAGACTGCTTAGCTGGGCGCCGGAGGGAAGTCTCAGTCCTGACCGGAGGCGACTGCCTCCGGTCCTCTCTGCCTCCTCTCGAGCGGGCCTGGTGGTGTAGTAGCTGGCCCTTCCTCCTTACAAGACACACTCTCTCTCTCTGTCTCTCTCTGGCTCTCTCTCTGGCTCTCTGACTCACTCTGCCGGGAGGACTAGGACGTCCTATATATTGGGAGGCGAGCCCTCAGGTTGAGCTGATGGGGGGGGGCGGTGAAGGGTCTCCTTACATTTGACCTGGACAATGTGAGGTCAGGTCTGGACTTTTTCAGATGTAGGTTATTGTGTATTTTGGGAGAGAGTCGGCCGGTGCCTTCTTACATGTTTGTTGTGGTGCCGTGTCACATGGGAGGGGAGCCTGGCTGATTTATAACCCTTGGTCAACCGTGAGAGTTACCCTACACTTGACCTCCCTAATGTCGGGTCAAGTTTGGACTGTCTCTGAGATGCAAGCTGCGGTCTGACAACCCATCACTACAATTTACAACAGACTAATCTCAAGATTGACTTCCGGAAGTGGAATAAACAATGTTGACAACTGTGTTGAAGGCGGGACTTACTGGGAGGGATAGCAGTGTAAAAGCAAATGGGAAAAAAACACGCTCCTAGGGATAGTTATTAACTACCCTCTCATGTTTTTGCAGTCGTGGGTTTAATAAGAATCATTAGTGTTAAAACAGACTA